ATTTTAAGCATACTGGAAGAGATTGAAACCCTAGATTCTTTGTCTGCAAAACCTAAACAAATAAAAAATTAAGTTAGAAAATCAAATAAAAAAATTGATACAATGATCTTATTTAGCGAATCGCCACAGAGAACACTTAGATTCGTACCTTAAAGAAGCCTCTTTTCCTCTTTATCCATGGAGCTTGTTTGAAGCGGACTGAAAGGAATTGAAACCCTAGATCCTGCGTCGCTCATCTTCGTAGTCTCGTCTTTATCAATTTCGTGATCGCTTTTGTTCTGGATCGTTTTAAGCACACTGGAAGGGACTGAAACCCTAGATTCTCCGTCTGCAAAACCTAAACAAATAAAAAATTAAGTTAGAAAACCAAATAAAAAAATTGATACAATGATCTTATTTAGCGAATCGCCACAGAGAACACTCAGATGTTGGGAATAGTGTCCTAGAAGCATGAGATGTAATAGAATATTTATTATTTAATTAATAAAAGAGTTTATTCATCATTTTATGTGCATATATTTATGAATATTTTATGAATATCAAATGAAAATTCTGTGATTGTTTATGTAACCTTAAAACACAGTATATAAGTGTTATATACGAGAGGATAGTGTTTAAGGATAATAATCAAAAACATTGTTCATGATGAATTTAATTAAAGTTCAGAATCTTTAATTAAAACATTATTAATACATGTCATTCCCATTTAGAATGGAATGGTGTTATCCGCACTGTTAATATGGTGAGATATTGAATGAGTGTATTTCGCATAATAAGATTATGTGGAACAAGAACACAGACACAATATGAATTTCTAATAATTTCCGTTAAGCATAGAAATTCTAATTGAGTCTACCAATGATCATATATAGGATGATCTTAATCCTGAGTTCTTAACAAACTCCTATTTATGGATTTATATCTTTTGATTTACTCGGTACGGATTCCGAGACCCTGAATCCTATTCCTTGTATTTTAGAGACATAATGAAATAGGTAGCTGGAAATGTTATTATACGAGATGGAATCCATTCCTTCTTGAGAAAGAAGTAGATAAGTAATTCTCTTGAGTGTTGATTCGGTATTTGGATTAGTAAGAGCGCTCTGGTTCATGAATGTGTTTTATGAATCACTATCCATTAGAGAATCAATG